TCCTTGTTGGACTTGCAACTTATTCTATAATTTTTCAGACATTTTTCACTGTGGCACTATTCAGTCAAATGAATTTTTTGATGGAAAAGAAGCCCAGCATATAAAACAAAAGAAAGTAGAGCTGCTAGTGCAGGTTCCAGCCTCAACCCCTTCGTTCTAAGGCAGGCTCGGGACACTTCTGCCAATCTCCAGGGCTCCTGGGTCATTGTTTGAAATACACTGGTCTATTCAATCTACTCTGAGGGAATTTTCTTAACAAATCAAGAAAATAAGTTACTGACGTAATGTTACAAATAAGTAATATGTTAATAAGGCAATCATTCTCAAGAAGTACCAGCATCAAGTTATAAAATATAAAAATAATGACTCAGCAGCAGCAACAATAAAAAGCTACAGATCTATTAAACACATCTTTTATAAGAAAATTATTTGATTCTTTCTTTTCTACAAACTGTGGCTGTCATTCTGATGAATACACCAGAATCAATTATAGCTACTAAAGTTGAGGCAGTTCACTAATAATCCTGCGGCGTTATAACACTACCATGGAGGTGAGCATGAAATACTTTAACATCCAAACCAGGATACTGGAGGTACACAGAAAATAATTATAAAACAGCAATGTTTGTAAAGTAGAGAAGCTTCTCCAGATGATCATGAACTCTCAAAATTTTCACTTGTCATCAAGTTCAATAGACCCGTAGTGAGAAAAGCATATAAGGAAACTATTGTTCAATAACTAAGTTGTAGTTAGGCATACCAGAACAGGTGTAGGGAACCACACACAGAATTTATTCTCCATCAATGTGTATTTTGTAAAACACCCACTACAACTCATTGTCAATGCCTCATTTTCTTATCATTTTATCATTGCCTAATTGTTATTTTATCAATGTCTCATTATTATTTCTCTAACTCTAAAACAGGGAAACCAGTAGGAAGCTGTCTGGATGAGAAACAAAATACTTAAAAAAAACATAATGATAACACTAAGAATGGAAAGAGAACAATAATTCAAGAGAGAAGCAATGATACAAGGTACATTACTTAATGCCCCAATGAACATAGGCTTGAAGACAAGAGAAACTAGAAGACTTTCAGGAAAAAAAAAAAAAAAAAAATCTATTCGGGTGGCCGATAGATCACAGTAAAATTAATTAATATATGAAGTGGGTAATATTCTAACTTCTAGCTGTGCCATTTGGTTCCATACTTTCATTCCATTTTTCAGAAACCAAATTCCATTTGATAATATGCAACTATATAAACACATTCTGATGAAACAGTTAATCTCATGTTGATTATAGTTGCCAAATGTTCAAGAAAAAAATATGTTTAATATACATAAAGTAAAACATACTGACTGTCTATGAAATTTGTATTTTAGTGCTACACATGATCATTGCAATCTCTGTAAATAAAAAATGATAGAACAGAGGTTATCCTAATCAATGTTACAAATTCAGAAAAGGTAAGACATGAAAACAGGGAAGTGCTGGTTCTCTCTTACCCAGTCTCTCATAACAGTTAAAAATTCTTTCTTGAGGCTGTGAAATTGTTCACAGGTTTATATATGTCCCTAAAGTTCAAACAGTGAAGTGTCTCCAGAGCTTTATTACTCTGACTCATGTTTGGCCAGATGACTCATTATTAGGGAATTGGTTTACTAAGTCAGCTCCAGTGTGTACATTTGAAACATTAAACAGAAAATTTTTGAAAGGAAATGTCATGCATATTTAGAGGCAGAGCTGTTAACGGGACAGAACACTGAACTGAGGGCAAACAGAAATTATCCCCCCCACAGTATGCTGTTGGCTTTTGAGGTTTATGTTCTGTGTGAGCCATTCAGAAAAATATCTACCGCAACATGAAACAGATTACTTAATTTCACATTTGCCTGAAAAGAAATGTTCTCTTCAGACAGCTCTAGTTATTATTTAAATTTTACCGTGCTTTTAAATTGCTATTTTAAGAAGAAAGTCATCATTTCTATCTTACCACCCCCATCCCGCTCCCAAAACACAAATGGTTTGATTCTGGAGAGCTTATTAGAAGGATTGGTAGAGTAGAAATGGCAAGAGTGGGTGTAGCCTGTGTGTGGGGTTTAACCTTGCAACAAAGGAGAGAGAAATGTTGTGGCAATTTAAAAACTGGCAGGTTCAAAGAGAGGATATTTTCAAGATAGAGAGAGACATATGCTTGAAGGTAAAGGCTGAGGATAAAATGTAGGGAAATTAGTGGAAAGTAGAAGATTAAAGAAATAGGAGAGGTAAATTTATACCACAATCACTCTCTTCTCAGCCTATTTGAAATTTTATATTGAAATATTGAAATTTTATTTCTCTTCAAAGAGGTACATCAATGATACATCCTTCTCCCAACCTTCCATGCCTTAAGCTCTGTTATGTATCTATTTGTGTATATGTATCAGCTAAAGTCAAAATATGCAGGTTAATATCCATAGAGAATAATTTCAGAGAAATAACCAATCTATGATCTAGGAAAAATAACCAATTTATGATGTAGGAACCTGATCTTTATCAAAGTTAGGGGTTCAAAGGCCTTTGGTTATCATAGTTGTCTAGTTTGGAGAACATAGTGCAAACAGAAAAATAATTAACAGATTCTTTCATTTTTCTACAAATAGGTGAACACTAGACATCATTCTGTCTTTAGTCATAATATTGATAATGTCTTTTGTGCTGTTGGTAATGCACTTAAATTTTTTAACATTAATTTTGTTTCTATACCTCTGTCCTTAATTCAGCTGAATTTTCATTGTACACTTTATGTACAGCAACATTTAATAAGGAGGCTGATTTTTTCATCTCCTTTTTACCAGACTGCCTAATTCAGTTCATGTTGCATCAGGCAGGAGAACTGGTGTTCAGCTTGCTTTTCCATGGTTTGTTTGGAAGGAGAGAGTAAGAGGAAATAGAGGCTCCAGGCAGTGGCAACAGCTGGAAGGCTTCTCTAATTAGATTCCAAGCAAACTTGGGCTGCATTTATAACTTTCCATATGCTGGCTTACAGTTTCTTTTAAAAAGCCTCCCAAAACAACATGCAAATTTAAAAAGATTTGCTGCACTTGTATATGTCACTCAATATGAAGTTGTTTTTCTTGAGCACCTTAGCATAGAACTCAGACTAGTAATCACTGAGTCCTAACTTTGAAGATGTTATCCAGACAAGATGGTCTCAGACGGTCTGTGTGCTTGACCGATTTTTTGTTTGTTGATGAAAATTTTTAGACTGCCATTACATCATAACAATTAAGAGACGTTTTTAAGTCTTGTAGATGAAACTCTGTCTCACTTTTAAGTTTGTTCCCACATAAGCAATTTGGAGTCTTTTTTGCAAGTTAATGTTACTTTTTTTTAAAGAAGCACAAAGGAAGCAAATCGTTGTGTTCAATACACAAATCAGTCACCGTGAACTTTGAAAATAAATGTTGTACATTTGTAATTTTGGTTTTTGTGCTCAACAGTAGAGAGAGAGCTCAGAGTTGATGGGTTTTGTTTTTTAATGTTCTATCCTGGAAAGTTTGATTTAAGATTTTCCCACTCAATGTAACAAAAGACCATATTTGTTGCAGAAAAATGACTTTAAAGACTCACTTCCATTTTTAAGTAAACAATTCTCTACTTATTTTTATATTTTTTCCCAATACAATGTATTGCTTATTAGTTTTGCAAGCATAGTTTATCTTTCTATTTTTTCTCAGGAGAGGTCTCTGAAATTAACTTTTTTAAAAGAAGAAGAAATCCCTAATGTTTAAGGATGCTAATAGAGATATTTAAATAAAATGGTGGAAATACTTTTTGGAGAGCTAAAACTAAAAGAACTGCCTTCCTTCCTATTAGCTTACTATATGATGAATCTGCCTCAAGGCCTTCCTCCCCAAACCTATCCTTGCTTGAAAACATTTTATATTATGAACTGCCTGCAATTATTAATGGCATTGATTATTCTAAAGTAAAATACACCCTCTAATTTAGGACCTATAATTCTATAGGCCCAGCTTGCTGCTACAATTGCAACTGCCTGTAAAATGCTGCATTGTCACCAGTCTCTTCCCACATTAAGCCGCTGGAATTGTCTTTCTAAATTGCACATTCCATGGTGCTACTGCCTGCCTGAAAAGCATAAGGCTATTGGCACCCTGGAGCCTGTAAAGTCACTACACTTCATTGTGTCATCAAAGACCCCTCACAAACCGGCCCCTGCAGTCTTTCAGACTCCTTTCTCACCACTCCTTCAAGTACCCGCTGATCTACTTGCACTGGTCATGTCACCATTTCATGAACTTCATCTCTTTCTCATACTTCCATGCCATTGCATGAGCTGCTCCTTTCCAAATGCATTTTGCCCATTTCTCATCCTGTGAAGATACAATTTATCCTTCAGAACTCAAATCTAATTTTACTTCCCTTGCTTATTCCTGCAGACAAGTTTCTCCTTCTTAATTCAAACATTTTATTCATTGCTTTCTTCTCCATTGCACTGTGAGCTCTTCAAAACGATAGGCTTTGTCTTATAAAATTTAAATTTCCCCAAGTATTTGGCATTATATGATATATAGTAAATGGCCAGTAAAGATTTATTAAGTGACTGTGTGGTCCCACTGATTTCTAGTTTATTTAAAACATTTCTTCCTATTTTTGTTTTTAATGTCTTAGAACCCCTTCTTCTATTCTTCCTGTTAAGTGATTAACAATTTACTCTTTATGTTCTAGGGGAATATATTAAATATTCCCTATAAGGAGAAGTGGCTCTTTATCCTTATGGATTTAAATCCTAATCTATTTTATTCTAAGCACATGTTTCATAAAGTAGGCTTTATCTAGCTTGCTTTCCAAATCACTACAAACTCTCTGAAACCAGCCTGGGCAACATGACAAAACCCTGTCTCTACAAAAACTAGCCAGGCATGGTGGTGCATGTCTTTAGTCCCAGCTACTCAGGAGGCTGAGATGGAAGGATCACTTGAGCCAAGGAGGTTGAGGTTCACAAATGAACCAAATAACAGTTTTTAAATAGATTTCAATAATGTTTTCCAATGTTCAGTTTCCATATTACAAATAACTCAGAACTATGATCTCATAAAATATTAGCTACTGTGGCTGGAAGATATTGAAGGGCAACATTTTCTAAAAATTACATTAAAAGGTATAATCATAACATTATGGTTGTTAAAACATTTTCAGAGAGGCACCACAAGGTAGCAGAAGCTCTGGATTTGGAATCAAAAAACTTCATTTTAGAGTTGAAATTTATGGTTTAAAACACTGTTTTATGCTGTATGCTCTTAACTAGATCACTTTACCTCCCTAAGCCTTGGTTTCCTGAGCTATAAATGAGGATTATAACAGTTATGAAGGTTAAACAAAGCAACATGTAGACTGGAAAGCACTCTACAGATGTTAGTAATTATTATTTGCATGGTATTTATTGAGTTCTACCCATATGGATTTGGTGCTTGGAAAAACCAGTCCGACGGCATCCTAATAGTAGCTGCTTTTATAATAAAAACTATGGCACAGCCCCTGCAGATGGCATGGAACCTGGGCTTGAGTATTGCCACTGATTCTTTTTTTTTCCTAAATATCCTGATTATACAGTCATTTGGATTACCATGAGTCCATGTAAATTTACGACCTAAAAGAAGCTGGCAAACAGGGTTAATATTTAAATAATAACCAATCTGTCCATTCATTTTAATATATTTTATTTAGAATTTGGGGTGAGGAGAAGGTAAGTGTATCTGCAATAACTGCTAATGGACTTCCTCAATGTAGATTTATGGCAGTGCCATTGGATCTATGGAAACTCTGAGAAGTGACTTTACTTTACTCCTGACAGTGTCTCTGGTTTTCAGTTTTTGTTCTACCCTTTCATTATCTTCTGCTGATGTTAAAAGTGCCTTGATCTTCCTTTTCTCAGATTTCTCCAATAATTATTTTCATCCATCTGGCATAGGCTTGGAAACAGATGCTGTATGCTCACATATGCTCAAAAAAAAAAAAAAGAAAAAAAGAAAAGAAAAGTCAAGAAATTGAGAGGGAGAACAAAGAACATACTTCTGTTTACGGCAGGGACAGAAGGAACCAAAATAAGACAAGACAGATAAGTGCAAAGAAAACAGCAAAGGGAAAGATATGACTATATTAGAAAAAATAAATATCATCTCTAAGAGCTTCCAGACCTCTGGCTCAGACTATAGGTTTAGAATGCCCATAGACATTTTAGAAACAGCCTAACTTCTATAAGTTTCCATTTTCAGCAAGTAGGACATTGTTCAATTAGTGCCCAGTGTGAGCTGGGCTCATCTATCCTGTTGCTATGAGATAAATTATCACCAATTGGTTACTTGTGCACCAAAACATGCCATAATAACTATGTACATCTTTGGGAAAATTTGTGCAGCCCAAGTTAAGGGAGATAGATGTGAACTTTCAAAGGACACTTCTATGTTTAACCTTAAATAAAATTAGAATGAAATTTCAAGTTTTTTAAATACAGGGCTTTCCAAGTATTTGGATTGAGGCAGAATTTAAAACAAACATCCCATTTATTTTTTCAAGTATTTAAAATCTGTATTTTCAGAAAAGGTGAAAACTCGAACAAATAATATGAATTATGGGTCTCTAGTCTATAAACCTGAAGTTGTTTTCTATTTCACATTCCTCGCAAATTACGTTTTTTCGACCAGAGAAATCTGCTAAGAAAACATTATCTATTAAGTTCAAGGAAGAAATTTTATACAAATTTTATTTGTATATGTTCTGGAGGAAGAAGACAAACAGGAGGGAGATCATTGTTAATAGGTTTAAACACACTGAAATATGTAATGGCTATATTCAAACATGTGGTGAGATGTTGGTGACTTGAGGAAACCACAGGAAGTCCCATCGGAAGACCTAACATGGATTTTGATGGTAATATATTATTTTAATTACCTCTGTCTTGAGAAAAGCATTAGAAACCCAGAACAGGAAAACTATAAAGAACCATGCTTATTAGTATAGTACTCTAGCTTGTTTTAGAATGCTTCCAGTATGTTTAGAAATATTGCCTTTTGAAACTCAGATTTCTTGAGACAATTTTTTTCAAACATCTGTATACATCTTTGAAATCAGGGACCTTATTGCCTGGGCTATCTTGTGAATCATTTTTTGAACTTTCTCTTTACTTCCATTAAGTTATTTAAGGTTCAGTGCTTTTAAAATCCTTTTATTATGCTGCTACTGATCATTTTATCCCCGAATTCATTTACCTGTTCACCTAATATTTGGCTTTACAGATACTAAAACTGAAAATTATTTTACCCCCTATAAACATTTGCTCCCTTAACTACTTAATATGCATTTTTACCAGATAGACCTGGTGCCATGTTTATGTGGCCAATATTTGGACCAAGAGGTGCAGATCCTATTGGAAATTCAAATTGTCACTGAGAATTTTCACTGTACTAAGTTTGTATTCATTACATATAACTTCTAAAAAGCCATACATTATGTTTATGAAGTTTTCATTTGCCTTGACTTGAAAGAAAATAAAATGTATTAATAGGATATATTTTGTTTGCATGATCCTAAAAAAGCAGAATGAACTTCAAATCTGTGAAGGACTGATGAAATTAAATTACAGAAAATAGAAGCCTATGATAAGTGAGAAGATGTGTCCACTCTCCACAAATTCTAAGAGAGAAGGCCTTCGAGTTGAGGAGAAAATTGTTTCAAGCTTTTATAGAGCTCTCTTCCCAGAGTTCTAATTATTGAATCAGAATACGGTATTGTCCAGCCTTTCAGCATAGTGAGTACATGCCTTGCAGCTCAACTAATCTCTGTTGAGATCCCAGTTCTGCCACTTAAATTTCTTAAATCCTGTTCTTCAGTTTTCTTTTTGTGAAATGGGGAAAATATTACTTTCCAAAGCTTATTCCAAGAATGGGACATAATATTGGTTCATTGCTAGACATACAGTAGACAGTCAATAAATTGTAACGATTGTTGCTGAACTGACGCAATTTTGATCTTAGCTTTGACTACAGATTTCAACCATGACACCAAGACTCCTGCTTCAAGGTCATTTTCTGGCATTGATATCAAACTTCCAAAAAACGTTGTCATTGATGTGTCTTCCAACTGAGTGCTGACTGGCTGATCTGTCTTGATTGCATTCCAGTTCTATCTCTGTCCTTAGGTGAACCATATCTAAAGCGGAATTTCGGGGTAAACCTGAGAGTAACCTTTTCTACAGAGGTCTAGCCTTCTCCAGCCTATCCTTCTCTTGGTCCTCCTAACCAGGGGTCGACCATTCCTGTACCTAGTTTTCAGCCCTCTATTTCCCTCTAGTGACTGCTTTCAGCATTACCTCACCCAGGGAGGGTGTATGGAAGTGCTTGGTTTCATGGGTTAACAGACTGTAAGAACAGTTAGCTAAATTGAGAACCCAGAGTGCATTACATTATATGCCATATTTTAAATATTGATATGTGTATGGAAATATTTTAAAGCATGCATTGAAGACACCAGAATACTGAAAACATGTAGTATCTCAATGTCAAAAAAGAGAAGTCTGGATTTTAGAAATAAAACTAATTAATAGGTTGATTATGGTTCCCTGATTTTAAAAAATCAAGTTGGCTGGGAAGTTGATTTTTATTCAGTAAGTTACTACAGGAATTGGTGATTATTAGAAGTGGCCTTAAATTGTTTGAAAATAATTCATGCCCAAAATATATCACTTAAATTTCTTGCAGTGGTGCATGCCTATGTCCCAGCTACTCGAGAGGCTGAGACGAGAGGATTGCTTGAGGCCAGGAGTTAAGGCTGCCATACACTCTGAATGCACCTGTGAATGGTCACTGCACTCCAGCTTGGGCAATATAGTGAGACCCTATCTCTTAAAAAATGAAAAAGAAAAGTGATTTTCTTCCAGCATGCAAAATCTGGGGAGGTTATACATATACTATATCTCAGTTTCAACAAGGCTTGTAGAAAAGACAATCCTTTTAATCAGAAAAAAATAAACTGAATGGTAAGTAAAATGTTGAACGTGCCATTCAAAGTGAATTGAGTAACAAATCAAAGTTAACCTAAGGTCAGTTATTCAATAACAATTGATAAGGCTTTGTTCTAAGTTATTTCTGTCTCCTCAAACTCTTGAACACATGATTCAGATGACGACACATTATTCACCAAAATTAACAGGAGGGATAGCTAACATATTGAAGGACAAAATTAAATATCTTCTAGATCTTTAAAGAGCAGGAACAATGAGAGAAAGCATCAAGAAACAAAACATTCTCTCTGTAGATTCATAAAGTAAACTCCTCTTCTACAAGACAGAGGACAACTGGCTTAAGAATAGTGAATATGGAAAAAAAAATAACTTGGGGTTTTAGCTGCCTACAAGTTCACCGTGTGCCAACAGTATGACGTGCTGCCAAATAAGCTCGTGTGAGTCTTAATAAAGTGTTGACTTCAAATCAAGAAAGGGAGTAGTCCCATTGAACTTTACACTGTCCAGACCACATCTGAAGGATTATGTTCAATTCAAAGTGCCAGATTGTAAGAGGGACACTGACACACTGAAGTGTGTGCCAAGGAGATCTGGCAACCAGAGAGCATGAGGATTGGCTGAAATAACTGAGACGACTCGGAAACGTGGTAACTGTCTTCACATATTTGAAGAACATTAACATAGAAGAGATTCCAGATTTATTAAGATTCCAGACAAGAAGAACCTGAATTAATCCAAATGAGAACCTTCTATTAGTAAACGCTTCAGAAATAAAATGAGCTGTCTGGTGATATACTGAACTTCCCCCTACTGGAAGCATTTTTGACAGCTATAGTACTAAGTAACAAGCATGGGCCTTTATAGCTGTACTACTCTGGGTTTCTAATGCCTTCTTGTAAATCTTTATCTTTTATGATTCTGGTTTCTTTTTCTCTTTTATATTTGTTTCTTCAAGCATTTTTAAAACTTCCATTTATTTCCTTTTATTTCCAATCCTTTCTCCCATTCTTAGTCTTGGACAGAGTTGGCAGTGTTTGGTGCCATAAACAGAAAGACAGGACACCACACCAGTATACCAGTGCTTCAAATGTATGCAAATTTCTTTAAGAATAGGGTGCTGTCTCATAAAAAACTCCAGAGAAAATAATTCCCATTCTTATGCCTAGTCACGGTATAATCAGGAAAGCATACCCTCTTAATGTGCAAGACTTAATAGCTATAAAAATAAAAAGAATACAGTCACTTTAGCATAAATTTAAGGGGCTGATGTGTAACATTTTCATATTCATATTACAGAACCAAATAGGATTTATATACCTCCAGAATTTGCAGGCCCTTTGAAGCAAAATTACTTTGTCTCCCCTCTTCCTCTCCCTCTCTTTCTTCCCTTTCCTTCATCTCATATTCACCTTTTTCCCTCTTTCTCTCTTTCAAGATTTATCTCACAACTGTTGGATAATGTTTCTCAGTGAACGATTCAATGCCCCTTTCCCATGCTTCTCTTGAGCTGTTTCCTTATTACCAAACCAAACTTACTGCCAGTTCCAGGGCTCATCTGGCTGGGGCTTCCTACATCTGCTGTGCTAGGAATAGCTTTTCCCTTCACCAGTCAGCCATAAAGCAATGATGAGGTTGCAGGAGGGGCAAGTATTAGGGGAACATAAAACGAAGGGGGAGGGTTAGAATAGGACTAAAGGACTATTCTTTCTTTTCTATGATGGATTTCCTTCAGGCAGCTCTGGACAGCTGAAATCACTTCAAAGGGAGGGAAAGGGAGAAGCCGTTCTTTCAGAAGCAGGTTTCTCCTTTCAGACAGTCCCACATTATTAGTGCCATATAATCACTTTTCAGTACATTTTATTAGAACTTCATTTTATTTCCTGAGAAACCATATAGCTTACATCTGAATAGCATCCATTTCTATGAACCCACAGAGCCTGGGCTTCTCCAGTGTCTGCCTCCATTTCCAGATTAAAAGTGGGGCGAAACTAGAGGAAATAACATCTCCCACACCTCTTTTATGTCCACCAAAGAGCTTTTAAAAGTAAGGAGAAGACAAACTGTGTGCCATAGCAATGGTCTTCTACTTCCCGAGGGTGTTGGAAGATGTAAGGATCTAATAAAATATACTTGGAGTGGAGTACAGATCATCAGTTTTCACTCTTTCTGCCTTTGTTTCTTCATATCTAAACAACACTAATATATCTATTCCATGGGGCAATGAGGAGCAAATAAGGAAAGGGAGGTTAAGTCCTTAGTACAGAGACTGGCATGGACTAAATCTTCAATAACGCTCGGCTAGTAACATCATCTCCGTCTACGTTTCAGTTGGGCCTTAAGGGAGCCATCAGTAAATACCTACGGAATGATGAAAGGCTAGTTCTTGTTCACTGGGTGCAGTTTCTTTAACTTCTTTTGGAAATGGCAAGGTTCAGTGTCCACCATCTCAAGTTGTGTCCATGAGGCTTTTTTACCTCCTTTGATGAAAGTCAAGCATAGAGGAAAGAGATGGTCTCTGGTACTCACCAGATCTTCAATTCTAGCCAGAAAAAAGTGCTAGGGAAGATGTAGCATATTTCATTTTGTTATTGCTGTTTTATTATTATTACTATACTTTAAGTTCTGGGATACATGTGCAGAATGTTCAGGTTTGTTACATTAGGTATACATGTGCCATGGTGGTTTGCTGCACCCATCAAACCGTCATCTACATTAGGTATTTCTCCTAATGCTATCCCTCCCCTAGCCCCTCACCCCCAGCCCCCACAGGCCTCAATGATGTTCCCCTCCCTGTGCCCATATGTTCTCATTGTTCAACTCCCACTTATGGGTGAGAACATGTGGTGTTTGATTTTCTGTTCCTGCGTTAGTTTGCTGAGAATGATAGTCTCCAGCTTCATCCCTATCCCTGCAAAGGACATGAACTCATTCTTTTTTATAGCTGCATAGTATTCCATGGTGTATATGTGACATATTTTCTTTATCCAGTCTATCATTGATGTGCATTTGGGTTGGTTCCCAGTCTTTGCTATTGTGAAAAGGATGTAGTACATTTCTTAGAGGTGAACTTTAAGAAACTCTTTGAGCATCTGTTGCAATGAAGAGATACAGAAAATTCTGAAAACAAAGCCAAATACCAAAAGGCCTAGAAGAGGATGTGGAATGGCTACAGCCAACTCCTCCATGTCACGGTGCTGGATTGTTTCCTTTAAGCTCCTGCACTAATATAATTGTTAGGTTTTCCAACATGTGCTATGAAACTTGGTTCTAAAGTATGATCACTTAGACATATACATATAGCTAAAATCAGTGAAGCATAATAAATAACTCGAGACTAATGATAACGTTAACAATATGTCTGGAAAAAATTCTAGAAAATAGCATGCTTGCAACTATTATTATAGCATAATAAAGGATAAGTGATTTAGTTTTAAAATAAAGTTGCCTAGATACTATAAAATATGGCACTTAATATACCTTTAGGGATCCAGAGAATACTCAAATCTTTGTTAACTCTAAGGAAATTTCTGAAGAAAAGAATAACAATTTTAAAGTTTTTCCTGATTCAAATTTCCTGTTGATGTCAGTAAACCATTTGGATTTACTGATCCATAGTTATGAGTCAATATAAATTTCAACAGGTAATTTCCTACTCAGGCTAATATAAATAAGACAGTGGGTTGAAGCTATAAATAACTCATAAGCCCATTACTTCCTAATATAATAAAGAAAATACTATGTTAATTTTTTTTAAGGCAGAATCTTGCTCTGTCACCCAGGCTGGAGTGTAGTGGCACAATCTTGCCTCACTGCAACCCCCACCTCCTGGATTCAAGCGGTTCTTGTGCCTCAGCCTCCCAAGTAGCTGGGACTACATGTGTGCACCACCACACTCTGCCAATTTTTGTATTTTTGTTAGAGATGGGGTTTCACCATGTTGCCCAGGCTGGTCTTGAACTCCTGGCCTCAAGTGATCCACCCACCTTGGCCTCCCAAAGTGCTGAGATTATAGGCATGAGCCACCATGCCCAGCCAATGTATTTTGATTAAACGTTTAAAGACTTACTTTTGAAAATGCCATAATTAAATAAAATATCCATATTCAGACAAATTGGATAATACGTTTTACCATACTACACTTAGTAAGCTTAATGAACAAAAAAGGGTAAAATTTATGAAATAACTTATAAAACATAGTCCATATACTTTTTAAAATTTAATTGCTCAGGTAGATTATTCTCTACCCAATAAAGATAAAAGTTATTTTTCAATGTTTTCAATTTTTCAATTTTTTCCTTCCTTCCTTCCTTCCTTCTTTCCTTCCTTCCTTCCTTCCTTCCTTCCTTCCTTCCTTCCTTCTTTCCTTCCTTCAGGCTTCTTTCCTCCCCTCCCCTCCACCCCTCTTTCCTCCTTCCCTTCCCTTCCCTTCCCTTCCTTTCCCTTCCCTTTTCCCTTCCCTTTTCCCTTCCCTTCCCTTCCCTTCCTCCCTCTTTCTGTCTTTTGAAACAGAATCTCATTCTGTTGCCCAGGCTGGAGTCCAGCTGCACAATCTCAGCTCGCTGCAACCTCCAACTGCCAAATTCAAATGATTCTCATGCTTCAACCTCCCAAGCAGCTGGGATCACAGATGCATGCCAAGACACCCAGCTAATTTCTGTATTTTTAGTAGAAACGGGGTTTGCCATGTTGCCCAGACTGATCTCCAGCTCCTGGGTTGAAGTTATCCTCCTCCCTTGGCTTCCCAAACTGCTGGGATTACAAGTCTCAGTCGCCACATCTGGCCTATTTTTCAATTTTCAATCCCTATTGGAGGACCTAAATATCACAATTTAAAATATCTGAATATATATGTCTATATTACAAAATATCTTATTGACAAAAACTTAAAATAATGGTTTTTACCTAGTTTATGGAATTGATGAGAGGTAATACTTACAATTATTTTTTAGTGAATCATCAAAGGTTGGATATATTGGATACCACCTCATTTTGCTGATGCCTCTTCTCCAATGTATGAAGGTTTAAACATCATAACTTCCAAATTATATACATAAGCTGAACTATTACAATATCCTTAACATTTTTATAGTTGATAAAGTAAACAAATCTTAGAAGAGAAAATAAGGAATTAGAAATCACTATAGAGAAAAACAAAACAGCTGTAATTCAAGTCACCAAAATAATTTTAATATTGCCTTTGTTTCCTCATGGAACAGCTACTGAGCTCAGTTATAATAACATGTGTGAAAATAAATTGTACAATTTATGCAAAATGTTATGGGTGCGTTATTACTATTATTGAGGTCAAGGAGAAATGTAGATTTATGTAAATTAAAATAGAACTTGGAGAGTTTGGCATATCAAATATATAAATCATATTTACTGATGTGTGTGTGTGTGTGTATGGTGTGTATGTAAAACCACTTTTATTGATTTTTTTTTTACTTTGAAATGCTCATTGGAGATAATGTGCAAAATTAGGGCTCCTAGTTCACTGTAAAACATGATGTTTTAAAATTATCTTTAAGATCTTAACATTCTTTTCTTTTAGGCACATTTTTTTATGCACCTAAAAATGCCATTTGATGTGCAAAGGAGTCTTCTTGGTGTGAAATTTCAATGTGTGCCTGCATCATTGTTTTCATGCATGGTGATTTGCAAGTCATTAAAAAATGGTGGCTACATTTAGGATTTCTTTTCATTTTAATTTTGGAGAGAAAGCACAGCCCCTATTGTCAACAGTTAAAGAAAAGCATAAAGCAGGCAGATGAAAAAGTGATGCAAAAGACAGCTAGAAAACGGTGGAGGGATAAACTCTGGCTTTCTTTTTACTTTGTTTCACCCAGCCAGGGGAACATAGCTAAAAGTGACTTACAGAAGTGACTCACATCCAAATAACCACAAAGCAAATTATTTTTATACCAAGAAGAAAAAGCAATTCTTAAGAGGGGGAAAAAAAAATGTTTAAAGAGAAGGAAAGTATTTTATGAGAAATTGCTTTCCTAGATCACTCTGCCTGAAACTATGAACAAACTGACATTTGTAAGCCCCCAAGAATCCTGTCAACCACCAAGATTGTTGGTTCAAATCAGAAAATAAGTTGTGTGGAATTACTTGGGAGAATTATTTTTCTTTTCATCAGGAAGCAAGTGAGAAGAAATCAAAGGACAGACAAAATACAAGTATACAGCGTATTTCTAAACAATGGTTGTTATATCTATTTATATAAATGTCAGATACATAAAAGTAAACTGCATTGAGAATTTTAACATGTAAATGTAGCAATGGAATTTATGATAGCAGTTAAGCTGGTTTTCTCAGAGTTGTTTATAATGCCTTTTTTGAAATAATGAGCTCCCTCAAAAAAAATTCCCCTATAGCATGAATGTCTTAGGATCAATTCTATTTGTACTCTAATATTATCCATAACTCTACCAATCAATGTTGATCCTAACTATTAAAAGTTTACTTACTTCTGTCATCTCTTGTGTCATTGTCAGGAATTAGCATTTGAAGAGACACCACAAAAGGGCCAGGAATGGTGGCTCTTACTTGTAATTCCAGCACTTTAGGAGGCTGATGTGGGAGTATCACTTGAGCCCAGGAGTTTGATACTAGTCTAGGCAACATAGTGAGACCCCCTTGTTGCAAAAAATACAATTAGCTGGGTCTGGTGGCACACACCTATAGTCCCAGCTTCTAGGAAGGCTGAGGTGGGAGGATTGCTCGAACCCAGAAGGTCAGTGAGCTATGATTTCACCATTGCACTCCACCCTGGGTGACAGAGACCCTGTCTCTTAAAATATGTCTACATATTTTTAAAAAGAGACACCAACAAAGAGCATACGAGTTTCTACTTGGACTTCAAAAATATCTGCACTATTTTTACTCTTGTTAAAATGTAACTTCAAAAGGTAAATAAATTATTCTTATTCATATATAAACATGTCAAATATTTTATTTATTTAAGTCATTAATTAAGGACAGAACAATTAAGATGCCAGTACAAATTCAAACGAGAATTTGAAGACAGGTAGATAGACATACAGATATAGATATACAGATATATATACACACACACACACATATATATATATGCAATCAGGAATGTTAAAATGAATTTGTTAATAATTATAAAATGTTAATAATCATAAGCAACAAAATATAATGTTAGGATTCATCTTTTCTAGAGGGTAGAAATCAGTTGTACCTCTCCTGAACAAAATTCATTTCCATTGCTATGGCAAAAATCATTGGTATTACTCTCAATCTTCTACCACTTAACTTCTACACCTATTAAGCTGTAAAACAATCTAGTCAATCATAAGACTCACACCCTTATAGAGTTGATGATCCCCTGAGAGTTGTTAGAACACTCTACCTCTTGGCATTTTCCTGAAAGGAAACCCAGGTATCTCTTTGGCCTGTTTCTAGATCTTGGACAGTATGTTCTCGACACTGCATGTAATTCTATTGGACATGTTGTTTTAACTAATCTTATTTTAGTTAATGGATCTCTTTTGGTAACTAGATGAGTCTAAAATTATGAGATCATTTTTCTTGAGGAAAACTAAGATACCTGCCTACCTGACAAGGAACTATGAGATTAATGTAGTATTCTCAAACTTTTAAGAGAGCTATTCATTTCTCTCTTTTTTTTTTTCATCATTGGCTGAGTTGTTCAAACTGGAATCCCACATGTCATCCTGCCTCTTGTATATTCATCTTCCGCATCCCAAACACATAGATCCATACAGATTCATAAATAAACACACACATATACACATGCATCCCTTATTTGGCCCTGTCACATCTACCTGCAAATTATTTCCTAAAGATCACTTCTCAGAGTCTCCTGGTTCGAAGCCACAGCCCAAACCACAAACATCACTTGCTTTTGCAGCAGCATTCATATTGTTTCCTCTTTGCTACCAAAATTCCATTCTCTCTAAGTCAACCAGAGAGATTTGTAAAACTTAAATTAGATCACATTTCTCCCCAAATTTTTAATGTCTTTGCCATTTCAATGAGAATAAAATACAAATTGCATGACTTGGCCTACAAGGCATGACATACTCTAATCCCTGCCTACCTCCCTGGCCTTGTTGCCTGCCATCTTCCCTAATTCTGTTCTCCAGCCTGTCTTTCTCTCTGTTCATGAACATACTGATCTGATTCCCAGCTCAGGATCCTTATGTCTACCATTCCTTCTCCTTGAATGACTTTTCCCATATCTGCCCTTGACTGACTCCATCTCATTATTCAGGTGTCAGCTCAAAAGCTACACCCTCAAAGAAGTCTCCCTTCCCACCTTTTTTAATATAACTGCCTTCTGTCACTCTCTGCCATTAGCTTATTTTGCTTTTTCCCATAGCAGTTATCACTAGCTGAATTTTCTTGGTTGCAAAGTGGTTTAATTTTTTTTATCATCTGGCTCCCCCTGTGGGAAGTGAGAAGCCCTGTCTCATCTATACTAGTACCTGGCACAAAGTAGTGTTCACTTAATAGTTTTTAAAAGAAAGGAGAAGTCAATCCCAGGAAAATGTATTTGAGATATTTACAGAGGAATTCTGCTCAGTTGGGGAATCCAAACTGCTTCCTGTCATGTGACGAAATATCACAGAATGGTACTCAGGGCAGTCATGATCCTAGGGCCCTGTGTCGCAGGAGAGCAAGAAGTGTGGCAAGGATTCCTGCACAGGGCTGGGGCAGATAATGTAGGAGTAGGAGACACAAGTCAGATCTTAAGATATGAGCTAAGATATGAAGCACTGATTCAAGAGCATATGATTCCCAAGAGAAAAAACAAGAGCAAAGAGGGTTGAAATTGGAGGCTGTGGCACATGCTGGCTACTCTTAACTTTTAAAGTTGTCTAAGCAAGTTTCAGCCCACAGTGATGCACTTTGGCCAAAAGGAGGTTAGTGGCTTCCATATAAACCCTGACACTGATTGGGTTTGAGCTGTATTGGGATCCACCAAAGAGATTCAAAATCTACCTTTATGAATTAATATCTTGGAATTCTTAGTAGAAAGATGTTTTGCACTGCACGTTGTTACTTTTTTTTAATAGCTAGGTAAATTTCTGTCTCATAAGGCAAGATATTTTCTTCACATATATCTATTAGCTGCACCAAAGGGATAACAATTATCTTAGTTATGATAGAACATACATCATGCATCCTATTTAGTAATTTTAAAAGAAACGTGGTAAATTTTCTTCATATTTTTTAAAATCACTTTTCCATTTTAAGAAAAACCTCTGAAATTCTAGCAGCACTGTTTGTTGTACATACGCCAAGTTAAAAAGGAAATCTGGAAAGATCACTCAGAACCATTGCATGCTGAAATTGAAGAACATTCCAAGTTCTTGTTGATTGTATTCTACCTTGTGCTTAAAGGGGAGAGGAAAGTCCATGACAGAGATGGCATTCGAAGTGGCCTGTAAATGTGAAAATGGTTCCAGATCAAAGATTTAGTCCAACTAAAGTCCTAGGAGTGATATTGTTTGGGGTTTATTTGGAACAGAGAGGAAATGGGCATTTGTGACTTGGGTTTGCAAAAGGTTGCAGCCATGATTTCAAGAGTCTAGTATTCTGAGATATCTATATTTTGAGTACTTTGTAGGTTAACTGGTTTTATTTAGCAGTAGGATTACATCATTGGGCTTTACTTATACCATATTGATCTGGAAGCTGTTTGTTAAATTAATTTGAGCAGAAGTACATGGGAAATGAGAAGTAGGAATGGAAACATAAATTCAGAGACTATTAAGTTCTGCCACGATCTGACCTTTCGTTGCTTTTCCAACCTTTATCACTCACTACTCATTCTTTACATTCCAGTTAAACTTGGCTGTTCTTGCACTCTTCAAATTCACCTCATTTACTTAAGAAGATTCCTTGTAACTGGAATCCAGTCTGCCTTCCTAGGTATCTTAACATTCTAAACAGTCTAGTCATACTTCAAGGATTTCAAGTTGTTGATACTTCTGTTACCTCCTCCACCCTCTACCCCTGAACCTCTGCTTTCTGGAAACATGTCCTTCTTACATGTTTTCACTTTCTAAATCTCCCATTTCTAATCTGTAATAATTAATGTTATCTTCC